TTACACCTGATCTTGCGATCTTCATAAGAAAATTTCCTTATTTGGTTTGTATCACCGGCGCAAATAAGTGTACGCGGTGAGCAACGACATAACGGGTTTTCATTATGATTGGCCAACCTTTGTAGATCATCCCGTGATATAGTAAAAATTTTATTGGTTAATCGAAATTAATCAAAGTTCTAAACTCCAATTAAATCATCACGAAGAAAAAACTGTTATGTATAAAAATAACTAGATCTATAATAAAATTAATACTAGTAAACTAATAAATTTTCATTAAGAACATTTAAGCTTCAAAATTTATAGTTAATACAACAAATCATGTGGCGATATGATTATTCAATGACAAAATCGATTTAAATACGTAGTGCAAATAACTTTGATCAACAGCTCTAATCACAAACAAATCTAAAGTTTATAAATAGCTAAAATTACATTAAATTATATGCTCCTTAATCGACATTAGTCATTAAATCTTTATATCTATACATGAGAGTCAGATTTCGTTAACGAAGGCACAGTTTGATTTATGGTATATTCAATCTCCATTCGAGTCTCCCTACATCCGTATGCGGAAGGAATAATTTCTATCAAATAGTTTTTAGGTATAACATTTCTGGGTATTTCCTGTTGAATAACATTAGGTTTTATAACTAAACATCATTTGAGAACAAGAATTCATGATAAAAAAATCTTACATCTTCCGGTTGGTCAAACAAATACGCATACAAGCATTTCAATACCGTTTCATGAGCAATGATTAAGACATCATTTTTCTCATGTTCAAGTTCAAGAATTATAGACTCAAGGCGGACAGCTAAATCATGGTAAGACTTGATAAAATAATTAAAATTTTCAAATTATCTTTCATGGGAACTGGATGTGATAGGATTTGTTTTTTGGAGCATTCGAAAGTTACACGAACAAGAATGTTGCGTCAAACACGTTTTTCGCGCATTTTGTTCATGTAGCTTGGCAATACTCAACCCTTGAAGGTAACTTTTTAGCAAATTACCTCAGCCCTCGGGTATCGATGATAGTACAAATCCTGTTGTTGTTTTACATTTTCTTCGGGAAATTTTGCCTAAATCAATATTGAAATAAATGTTGACTCGATTTCGCCAAATTTTGCTATTAACAAAAATGAGATTATTATCAATATTACCTTTATTTCATCAACAGTTAATCCATCTATTTCCCCAAGATTCAGTTCCGCTATTGATGTCCGTTGTTTCACAATGTAACCTTCATCTTCAAAAGGTTTCGCAGTTTGGTATGAACGACGACGTGGCGACGTCCATATCTAGTAAAAAAATACCAAATACAAAGATTCACATATAATCGAATTTTAAAGAACAACTATACAACAAATGGCTTACAGTCAGTGTTCTTTCGTCTTCATCACCCCATCCATCCTCTATTCGTTGTTTTTTTTCTTTCTCTCTCAAAGTCAACAAGAAATTTTTTAAATTATGCGCATAACGTATACCCTCTGGACTTAATTCTGCGTCGGCTCTTTGAGACAATTCGTTTAACGATTCACCTGTCTTTCAACAAGTCAGCATAACATACATAGTCAGAATAAATTTAAACAAGCAATAGAAGTTTCATACTCGTGCGAAATATATTATTCTAGGTGAAATATGTAGATTCATTAAATAAAATACTATGCGAGACTATCAAAAATAAAAAAAAAGGAATAAAAAATAGGAATAAATATATTGTCAGATAGATCGTAAGTTACTGTATTTGTAGTGCAAATGGATATAAACCTGAAGATATCCTTTCACATTATTAACGATAATACGTTCACCAACATTTATCATCTTAACAAAACTTAGTGAAGTATCAGTTATTGCTTGATAATGTCCGATATGGTTATTAATGCGTTTCTAATTACATCAAATAACGAAAGGCAAGTGTCAAACAGATGAGCAACAATTTGAAGAGCAGGAAATGTCAATATGTTTACGTACCCAGTAATCTTTGACGGCTTCCTCTCGATCCCAACCAATATACTACATATGAACAAATATGCGGGGTTTTTTGTTATATTAGATAATTAGATATTTCCATAGATCAATTTTATGTGAAAGTTTTCGTACATCCGGTGATGTTATTTTGACACTTCGAATATTGGCCTCTACAATGTCCTGTTTATCACATATCGATTCTAAATTATATTAAATAGAAATATTACTATTGATTGATTAAATGATATAGATTAGATGATATAACAAATATCTCCAAATTTACCAATGAAGACTGGCTGTACAAGACAAATTAAACAAATATTAAATATGCACGTTTAATATGAATCAACATATGTAAGCTATGTAACTTGGTATACTCACATGAATTTCTTCATCAGTTAAGATGTTACATAATTCTCTACGCCTCTCTTCGGTCGTATTACTAGCATCCAAGATGCCAACTTGGCCACCATCTTCCAACCATTTTATCATATCCTTTAAACATTCTATCGATATTTTACGTCGAGCTTCAGCAGCCTCAAGATTCTCTTTTTAATAACAAAGGATTGTTATGACATATTTATTTACAAAACAATTATGAAACTTTCATGGCCTATAAATTGGAATATACCAAAATCAAAAAAATTTTTTGGTAATTGCTCTGCAGTTCCCATTGCTTTACGACGATAGTTTCCTACGCTAA